CTATACTATGGTCGCTATGGGTCGCAGGTGGCTCCAAGGCACATAACAATGGCATGCATGGGAACAATGGAGCTCTGATCGTCTCTCTAGTGGTGAGATGCTAAGCTGCCAGCCCAACAGCACACAGTTCAAATCCATCAGCTGCTCCACAGGAGAAAGGCATGCAGTCTATGTAATCTCCCACTGTGCCGTTTACTGCCTCTGAAAACCCACTGGAGGATCAGCTATGAGTCAGTTCCAACTTAATGGCATAGAATAACAACAGTGTATGAAGACTTGGTTTTGTTTTTTATTTTTCACATGTAAGCATGACTAATTGTGATTGTTACTTGAAAACATACCATACATTTCATACTTAAGACCACATACTGTCTCCTAAGGAAAACTCAGTACTCAAGTAAATTCTATTCTGAGCATAAGTTTCTTCCATTAGAATATTTTTTTTTGTTTTTTGTTTGTTTTATAATTTTTTATTTTTTTTTAACAGAGGTTTTGGATTTCCATTCATTCATTGCTGCAATTTTCTCCCTTCCCACCCCTCCCCACCTGCTCGCTTCCCCCTCCGAAGAGAGAAAAAAAAGAAAAAGAAAAAAAATTCCTTCATTAGTATATAATTCCCACATCCCTTCCCCCCACACCCCACCCTGAGTACACTTCTCTATGCAACCATTAGAATATTTTGATGCATTGTGAAATTTAGTCTTTCCTCTTTAACACTCTAAGTAAACAACACTCTAAGTAAACAAGAGATCTTCTTAAAACAATCTCTTTTAATTTCGTTGAAAATTCATTAGCATCAGGGCAGCAGCGGAGGGGAAACCAGAGTTTGCATATTCCGGTTTTTTGTTTTTTTTTTTTTTCAGGAAAGAGCCATGAGGGGAAATTATTGTTTCCTTTTACTTTCCCCCCCTTCCCATTTTGCCCTTGAAAAATGAAATTCCTAACTGAGGCCTGGAATATTCCATGTGTTCTGAGGTCACTAGATTCTGCTTCTCTCGAGGGTTCTAAATCATACTCCATTTGTCTGCTTCCAAATCTCAGCCCCGAGACCCCAAAATGGGCACTACCACTGAGAAAATAATTGCAGATAAATGATTTATTTTTTCCTAGTCTAATAAAACCATGAAGGTAGAATACTAAAAGATTTAAAACATTAAGCCAAAGCAGAATAAGAAGTAAAAACAACAGTGGACAGTTCATATAGTGAGGAAAGAACAATAAACGTAGAATTAAAGATGAAAGGACTTTAAAAGTAATCCATCAGTTGCCTTTTGCAGATTAAGTAAAATGATCTTAAACCTTAAGTGACCTGATCAGAAATACTCAGATCTTTAACAGGAGTGGTGTCTGTCAAGGTTCTCCCTAGTGACAGTCTCAGTGGTTTAAGCCTGATGTTTCTCAGGCAGATTTGCTGTGACCACAGACCCATCCCCGTGATCTGTTAAGAACTCTCTGTCTCTTTGATCTTCAGTGGTTGCTTACACAGTGCTGTGATTCTAGAAACTCTGTTGCTAGTGTTTCAGATGGCAGCATTGTCACTCCTTGTGGACAA